ATTAAATTGTTTCCCTTAGGGGTTCCACCTCTTTTTCTTTGTTTCCTTCGCTGGAACTAAAATATATGGTTTCTTCTTAGGATTTTGAATGTTTTAGTCATGAGTCTTCAATTTTGAACTAAACCTGCTAGGAACCTGAATAATGCTGACTTTATTTTTGGCAGACGTGAATTGAGCTCTTGGATGCATATTAGTTGTTGAACATTAGCTAGAAATGGCGTCAGCAGGTCAAGCGCTGCCACTGAAGAGACAGAGTTCATCAGTGATGAGAGAGTCAGACCGACTTATTGTTACACCACTGGGGGCTGGGAATGAAGTGGGTCGGTCTTGTGTTTATATGTCTTACAAAGGAAAAACTGTCTTGGTATGACAAATCTACTCTTTTGTTTCAAGAGTGTGTTATACCTTTTTGATTTTGTTGCCATGTTTGTAAACCTAATTTCTTCTTCTTTCTCACTTTTTTTCTTGGTAGTTCGACTGTGGAATCCATCCTGCTTACTCGGGCATGGCTGCTTTGCCCTACTTTGATGAGATTGACCCTTCAACAATTGATGTGCTTCTTGTTACACAGTAAGTAGTTATGTTTCGTTTCTTTTTTGGATGATTGTTAGGTCTTCTTTTTTTCCATTTTGAGGTGGGTAATGTCGGATCTGGTGGTTCTCTGGTGTTCCGTGTTCCTTTTTTTGGGTGGATCTTTGGTGTTGTGCATTCTTGGATATCCAAGATTGGTCTCCTGGGTTGTGGGTAAGGGGGGGGGGGGGCTTTATCCCCCCTTGCTTCTCCCTTTTCATATTACCACTTCTATACCTTTTTCTTTCTCTGCCATCAAGACACAAAATGATATACTGGCAAAGAATCTGTACAATACATGTGATCGTGAAATTAAACTGGAAAATATTAGAGGATTTTATGAAAAAATAATATCACAAGTTTTACGGTATGCAATTAGCCTATTGTGGGAAGGTTTTTTTTTTTTATATGAAAACCAGATGGAATGAATGGAATGAATTTCTGCAATCATAAACATAAGACAAAGGTAGGTTACTTGAACAGGGGGTTAGTAATTTGCAATCTAGGAAGCTTCTATTATCTATACCATCCACAATCTATGGCCCGTTTAAGAAGTGAAAATTGATTAGTTTTTCCAACGTTGGAGTAATTATAGATTGCAATGGCCATGTCAAATCCATATTTTCAGGATCAATAGGCATGGGAAACTCTACAAGAGTGAAGTTGCTAGCAATCCTACTAGGAATTAGATTTGGAGTTCAGTTAAATATCACAAAATTGATGGTGGAAGGTAACTTAATTTTTAGTGGAAATGTGGAATGGATGAAAACTGACAGAATGAGAACTTGGCACTAGAGAAGAACCCTAAGGGAGATCAAAGATATGACAAGGAAACTATATATAACATACTCCTGGATTCATAGATCAGTAAAGGGGGAATGAACAAAAACTAGCTATTCTGGGGGTTTTCTGATGTTTATACATACAGGGCAAAGGGGATGCCTGCATTCCTAATTCTGAGTAAAAAGTATTAGTAATAGACCTAGATTGCAAAAGAGGAGAAATTGGTTATAGAAGTGGACTCCAAGGTGGTGGTGGGTTGGCTAAAAGACCCAGATTCAGTGGTTTGGTGTTACAGAAATGAAATGAAGAAGTTCAAATGCCTAACACAACAGATGATTTTAACCATACAATGGGTGGGACAGGTGGCCAATGCACTGGCTGATTCTCTAGCTAAGCAAGGGGTAACGAGGGATCAGATGTACTGGGCCCGTTTGTAAATCTGTTGTATTTCTTTGTTAAAGAGTGAGGCTGCACCTCGTACCTCCCACTGGGATGCTTGTAACAGATGTTATCCTTTGCTTCTAATGAAAATTAATGAATTTATTTATCAAAACAAGTCTTGAAAAGTGACATTTAGTTTCAAAAACTAGATACAAATGCATTATATACAGATATAAGCATACGTTATGGGATACCAGTACCCATATCTGTTTCCAGGATTTTAGGAAACAGAGAGTCATATCCCCATTTCCCTATCTATGTTCATATCCATATCCATATCCATATCCATACCTGGGCATCATATAGTCATACATACTTAAATCATATTGATTTTTCTGGCAATTTTTGTTTTGAAAAACAAAGGCATACATGTTGGCTACTTGGCTAACACCCCCTAGATCTTTTGTTTCCTTCCCCAAAGACACTTGTTAGAGTGGAGTCTTAAAAATACAAGTATTTGAGCTAGTTGGAGAATGCAGTGGGAGATATATCTTCTGGAGGTGGACTGACTGCCTTTGCTCATATAGGCAGTTAGGCACTTGTGCCCCTTCCAATCATGCAAACATAATATTTCTTTGTTCATATATAGTGCTGGCAATTTTGACCCACCCATTTGAGTAGTGGATCAATATGGGCCAAGTCACCCATTTGGGTCATAGAAAAAGGGTCAGGGTGGGTTGGGCCAAGGATACCCATAGGGTCAGATGCCTCTTACTCATCGTCATTTACAGAGATGCTTCTCGTTGAATACACCAAATTGCAGTTGCAAAGAAGAGAGAAAAGCTGCTAGCAGCTATTGCTGTAGCGACCACTGAAGTTGATTTCGGCACATCTTTTTGTTTTCCTTCTCCTTCTCCCTCTTCTTCTTATTCTCCTCATCGCCAGAAAAAAAAAAAAAATTCATGGAGGTTAGGCAAGATTTGGAGGTTTAGGGTTTGAAACCGGAGGAAATGATGCTGAGCAGTGTAACTACAGCTATGGGAATGGGACAGATTTGAGTTGGAGAAGAAAGCACCGCAGCTTGAACAGTCACTTCAGGAAATGATGCACACTTGGGTTTCTCTTGACAAAAAATGCCCAGAAAACAATCAATAACACGCCATCTCAAGATTGGAATCCATTTAATCCACTGAAGCAGAACTCAAAATGGTTTTGGCTTTTGGAGGCATTCTCAATCTAAGCCTTAATTTGATCTGAACTGCTTACGGCTTGAAATTCCTATTACTTTTTTATAATAGGAATTACTTTTTGAGATGATGCGTTGATTGATTGTATTCTGTTAATGGGGTTGAATTTTTTGTTGAAAATTATTATTCTTGATTGTCTTTTGAAAATTACTCTCAACTTTGTGTTTTTTCTGCAATTTTTGTTTATTTGGTGGAAATATATAATTTTTTATTTTTCTAACTTTTTATCTTTTTCTTTGTTTTTCTGCAATTTTTCTTTTTTATTTGAGATATATACTTTTTTGAAAATTTTATCATTTTATGTTTTTTTTTTTCAATTCTGGTTTTTTGGCTGATATATATATATATATATTGAAAAAAAAGTTATCATTTTTTGTGTGTTTGTTTTTTGAAATTTCTACCTTTCTTTGCTAAAATGTATAATTTTTAATTTTTGATCAATTTATGTGTTTCCTACATTTTTCTGTGTTTTGAAAAAAAAATGTTAGAGTACGGTGCATAAATGGGTCAAAGTGGGTGGATTAGGGTGGGTGAGGGTCAGGGTGGGTCTTGACCCACTAATGAGCAATTAATGTGGGTTGTAGTGGGTTAGTGGGAAAATATGGGTCAATTGACACCCAACCCACCCATTCGGCACCCCTAATTCTTTCTCCTTTGGTATTTATCAAAAAAAAAAAAAATCTTTCTCCTTTGGTTGCAAGTTGCATGATCATCTCATCATTTATTATTAATTTTTAAATACAATATTTCTTTTCTTTTTTTAAACACTGAAAAAACTTTGAATTCCTGTCTTCTACTTTGATCCATTTGCATCTAAATTTTTGTCCCCAACTAAATTCATCCATTTTCATGATTAAATCCAACTCTCTTTGTGCTAGCTTCTTTGGTCCCTTTGTCATTTATCTTAGAGCTCCACATTTGTCCAATCTTCAGTTCAGTTTTCTTGTACCAATGACCCAAAAGATTCTTTGTTCTAGACATTCAACTCTCTTCTCAAGAGATGAAACCTCATCCCAAACCTGTATCCCTTCTATTTGGCATTCATTTGTTCCTCCTCCCACCATGATTTGACACTTCAAATGGAAAAATAAATGTGCTAACCATATATTTTCAAAGTGAAAAGGGAGGAGATCCACCACCAAGATTTTCCTGATCTTACAAGGTGCGACGGTGATCTATAATAGGCTCGGGAAAATCTTGACAAGATAACCCACCTAGTGTTCTTCCCAATCTACTGAAAAACGAACTCAGCTTTGAAAAAAATCAGTTCTATTTGAAAATTATCCTACAAAAGGAGAATTTCTTTAAGTCCAAAATTATTGCTGATATGATAATATACCCAAACTGGCTATGTAAAGAAAGACTCACTGCTCATTCCATGTCATACAATGTTTGTCATTGTAACTTAAACCAACTATGTTATGTTACAATGACATTTCATTATCTCTAAAAGATTTTTGGTAACATGCATACATGATCATGTGAACCTTTAATCAAACTCCTCTGGCTTTTGTATTAAAACTCTACCACATTTAAAGATCAAATATTGTAAATGCATTTCCTCTCTAAAAGATTTCATTATCTCTAAAAGATTTTTGTTATGTTACAATAACCAACTATGTAATGTTACAATGACATTTCATTATCTCTAAAAGATTTTTGGTAACATGCATACATGGTCATGTAAACCTTTGATCAAACTCCTCTGGCTCTTGTATTAAAACTCTGTATCACATTTAAAGATCAAATATTGTAAATGCATTTCCTCTCTAAAAGATTTCATTATCTCTAAAAGATTTTTGGTAATATGCATACATGGTCATGTAAACCTTTAATCAAACTCCTCTGGCTCTTGTATTAAAACTCTGTATCACATTTAAAGATCAAATATTGTAAATTCATTTCTTCTCTCTATGATGCTTCTAGCCTTCTAGGAACTATTTTATACATGTTATTTGTAATGTTATTATGTTATACTTCTATAAGTGAATCAAGCTGCTAGAATACACACAAACAAATAAACACTGGCATATGTGTCTATGTTACAACATAACCAATAAATTCTAGTTGTTTGACTTTAAACCCTGTTGGCTCACTATATATTGATGATGTTCTTGTGCAGCTTCCACTTGGATCATGCTGCATCTCTTCCATATTTTCTGGAGAAGGTATGTAACTTTTTCTGATAATATTTCTTGTAGTCCTCCTTGTTCAATGGTCTAAGAGTGTATATCTGCTTCCTAGACCACCTTCAAAGGCCGTGTTTTTATGACACATGCAACAAAGGCCATCTACAGGCTTCTCTTGTCTGATTATGTGAAAGTCAGCAAGGTCTCAGTTGAAGATATGTTGTATGATGAACAAGACATTCTTCGCTCCATGGACAAAATTGAGGTCTGTTTGCATTTATAATTAAAATATGTATTTTCCTGTTCTCATCTATCTCTTCTTCTTTTTTTAGCAGTTATGTTGTAGTTGCCTTGCTTATACGGAAATGACTTGGCTATTCATTTGAAAATAGAACAGAATTCAGTTGGTTTCACTTGTCTCACCCGATCATGATATTAAATACCAATCAGTTACCCCTATTTTCAAACCATATTCCTTTCTTTCATGTGTGGAATGATTCTTTGGGAGCAATAGTTAAATTCCTACTAAATAAGAATGGTGAACCATTGGGACTCAAAAACACCTAAAGAGATTTGTCTGATATTTTCTTAGTTTACTTTTTACCAATTTGTGTCTGAAATCTACAGTGTTCAGTAAAATTATATATCTATTTTTATTCTTAATATTGACAGTGTGGATTAGCATGCCTTTAATAATAAACAGTTCTTATTTGATTTATTGGATGGTGATCTGTATCTTATAGAAAAAAAGGTTTTGTAATCCAGTTAAGTCATCTTATAAGCCTTATCCCAATTGTATGGGGCCAAGTACATGAATATTGCTTTTTCATTAACTCAAGATCCAAAGGGTTTTGCAAGTCTTAAATGCCAGCTGCCGACCTGACACAACCTTCGTCCTTTATCCGGGCTTGGGTCCTGCAATTTAAGATAAGCTCACTGGCAGAGTTTTTGTAATCCAGTTCAAGTACAGAAGCTTAATAGAAGATTCTGCCTATTTCTGCCACATGGAGCAGTCCTGTGGTTAATCTAGCCCATCCATGAGATAGGGGGCTCTCTAGATGCGTCTTATGTCCACTTATTCATTACCAGCCTTGTACCCCACATTGTATTGGAATAAAAAAGAGTTCTCTCAAACACATTGCAATGTATTTTGGTTCAAAATTTGGCCCATCATAAGTGTGAAAAAAGGAAGACAAATGGATGTTTTGGCCCCAAAAACAAGTTGATAATATGGAAAAAGCCATGCGCATATATGTATACAAGGAACACATACTGCAATTTTGCTTTTCGAACTTTTAGAAATTCTTTAGGATGCAACAAACTGCAAATCCTGTTGTTGGGTTGGGTGCAACATATGCCCAGATACTTCTATCATTTTGTCAAAGTGGCGGCAGTTTGCTTTCAGTCGAAACTAGTAGGTTAGTATGGAATATTAGACATCACAAGTTATTTGGAAATTACCAATTAAAAAAAAAAGAAAGGTTATCTATAAAGTAGTCTGAAATTAGTGCAAGCTGGTTATTTGATTTGGTAAGTTTTACACATCCATGCATGAATCATGTAACTTGTCTTTTTATCAGTTTTGTAGCTGTGGTCTTGCCTTTCCTACTATGTTTATGTGATGTGTATCAACATCTTATTTTATGCAGGGTGAAAACCTTTCTTTAATTGTATTTTGTTTTTGAAGATATGTTGCACCATAAACCATTCTGTGACTGCTGGACATTTAAAGTTCATTTTATGATTGAAACAGCAAGCAATCAAACTTTTTAATGTACTTGATGGGTAGCTTTTGTAAATATCAGGAGTCCACCTTTTCTAGTTCTCGACTTCTGGGCATATCTGCTCATGCACATAGAAATCTAATAGCTCCTTCATGTAGGTTATTGATTTCCACCAGACACTAGAAGTGAATGGAATCCGCTTCTGGTGCTACACTGCTGGTCATGTTCTTGGTGCTGCCATGTTCGTGGTTGACATTGCAGGAGTGAAGGTTCTTTACACAGGAGACTATTCACGGGAAGAAGACCGCCATCTCCGTGCTGCAGAGATCCCACCGTTCATTCCTGATATATGCATAATTGAATCCACATATGGTGTCCAGCTCCATCAGCCTCGAAATGTCAGGGAAAAACGCTTCACTGATGTCATCCACTCAACCATTTCTCAGGGAGGGCGTGTTCTAATTCCAGCATTTGCTCTTGGAAGGGCCCAGGAACTACTCCTTATTCTTGATGAGTATTGGTCAAATCATCCTGAGCTTCATAACATCCCCATCTACTATGCATCCCCCCTTGCAAAGAGGTGCATGGCTGTATACCAGACTTACATCAATTCCATGAATGATAGAATCCGGGCCCAGTTTACCAACTCAAATCCCTTTGATTTTAAGCACATTTCTCCATTGAAAAGCATTGAGAATTTCGATGATGTAGGTCCGTCAGTAGTGATGGCAAGCCCAAGTGGACTGCAAAGTGGATTATCACGGCAGCTATTTGACAAGTGGTGCTCAGATAAGAAGAATGCATGTGTTATACCTGGATATGTTGTTGAAGGGACATTGGCCAAGACCATCATCAATGAGCCCAAGGAAGTCACCCTCATGAATGGCCTTACTGCCCCTCTTAACATTCAGGTCCATTACATTTCATTCTCAGCTCATGCTGACTATGGGCAGACAAGTACATTCTTGAAAGAACTCAGGCCTCCTAACATAATCCTAGTTCATGGAGAAGCCAATGAGATGGCAAGGCTTAAACAGAAGCTTATCACAGAGTTTGCAGATAAGAACACCAAAATCATCTCCCCAAAGAACTGCCAATCTGTTGAACTGTATTTCAACTCAGAGAAGATGGCCAAAACAATTGGGCGACTGGCTGAGAAGACCCCAGAAGTTGGTGAAACTGTCAGTGGCATACTGGTAAAGAAAGGTTTCACTTATCAGATTATGGCACCTGAAGATCTTCATGTCTTCTCACAGCTATCTACTGCCAACATCACACAGAGGATATCTGTCCCTTATTCTGGTGCATTTGGTGTGATAAAACACAGGCTCAAGCAGATATATGAAAGTGTAGAGTCTCTACCAGAAGAAGAATCTGAGGGCCCCTCATTGCTAGTGCATGAACGGGTGACGGTGAAACAAGAGTCTGAGAAGAATGTGTCATTGCAGTGGTCCTCAGACCCCATTAGTGACATGGTTTCAGACTCGATTATTGCTGTCATATTGAATATCAGCCGTGAAATTCCCAAGGTCACAGCAGTGACAGAGACTGCAAAAACGGAGGATGGCAAGACAACAGAGAAGATAATCTATGCCTTGTTAGCATCCATATTTGGAGAAGTCAAGGCTGGAGAAGAAGGAAAATTGTTAGTGACTGTTGATGGAAATGTGGCTCATCTGGATGTGAAGAATGGTGAAGTTGAGTGTGAAAACGAGGCCTTGAAGGAGAGAGTCCGGATTGCTTTCTGCCGGATCCAGAGTGCAGTAAGGCCCATCCCTCTTTCTGCTTGAAACTAATATTTGTCTTAACAGTTAGCATCAAGTCCTTTAATCCTGAAGTTAGGGAGCAACTATTGGTTTGCAATTAGCACAGATCCCTCTAATATGCTCCACAGATTTCGGTTATGTTTTTGCAGAAATTGGTCCAATTTGAAATGGACTTTGTATAATTTTCCTTGCTTTTCCGGCAAGCTGGGGAAAAGGATTGCTTTTCTGAGTTGTTTCATGAGAAAAGAAACACAGATTGTACAAGCACTCACTGATATACTTACAGTTTTTAAGTCTCTGGCACTTTTCTCCATACTACTTGTAGCAATGTGATCTTTTCCAGTACATTGGTTGGACAATTTATAACAAGGGAGAGATTGAAGATGATGTCACCCATAAAATTAGAGAAAAATTAGAGTAAGATGGACAAAATAGGGGATGCATCCAGAGTCTTGTATGATAGACGAATACCACTTGGATCGAAGGGAAATTTTATAAAACAATTATGAGGCCAGTTATGTTGTATAGAGCAGAAAGTTGGGCAGTCAAAAAAAATGTCCAAAAACAACTAGTGTGGCAGAAATGCATATGGTAAGATGAATGAGTGGAAAATTAGAAAAAATAGAGTCAAAAATTAAATTATTTGAAAGAACCTAAGAATAGCTCCAATACATAACAAAATGAGAGAAAGTAGACTAAGACTGTACATAGAAGACTATTAAACAAAAAAGGACTTGAGTTGAAATACTTAGAAATGATTCTGTAATCTAGCAATGGATAAAGAATTAAATAGAATGGAAAGGTAAAATAGGATTCATGCATATGGCTGGGATAAGGCTTGGATGATACAGTGGAAAATGACAATTTGAATAAATCTATTAGGCCAATTTTGTTTTTGTACAAGTGTTTGGGGTACCTTTAGAAGAAACACTCATGGGCCAATGCCTTTGAACATTTTCCACTCTGTTTAGGTGATCATGTTACTATTTTTAGATATCAAAACAAGCATTTCATAGTAAAAAGTCAATTAAATAAATAGGTTGTAAATTATAGGGGTGTTTTAGTAAAATGAAAATATGATAGGTTTAAGTAAATCTGTGAAATTGTAGAGAGTGCTCTAGTAAATGACTTTTAGCTATACTACTATGAAAACGTGTGAATGAGACTAGAACTTTTATTTGACTAAAATACCCTAACATTTGAATTTGATTCCTCTTTAATTGTAAGGACAGAAATGTAATTTGAACCACTTTTTTCATTCAAGTCCCTGTTGTTAAGTCGTATATTTAAGGTATTAAATCCTGTTAAGATTCATTGATCTTGTGCTTGACTAGAAGACCCCTATTTTTGAATTTGGTCCCTCTAATTTTGAGGGCACAGAATGTAATTTAAACTACTACATTTCTCCTTATTCAATTCCCTCTCTTTAAGTCTTTTATTTATAGTATTAACTTCCATTCGTTCTTTGAATCTTATGTTAATTAACCATATTAAATAAAAGAAAAATAAGTATGACAAAAAATATTGTTTTATTGATGACAGAAATAAAAATGCAAATTTAAAACCAACTCAAAAATAGAGTTGTTTTTCTTGTTTGTTGGCAAATCAACAATTCAATCTTTTGGGTMAAAATATGTCAACCCTTGACGCCATAGTTAAATAATAATAAAATTTTAAAAAAATGAAAATGTAAAAATGTATAAAAAATACAAAAAAGTATAAAATATTTGGACATGTAAGTGTGACAATATTTTTTGTAGAAATATAAAAAAAAAAATTGTACAAAAATTTGAAAACATATTATTTACTATCATGTGGAGAAATTAAACAAAGACTCATGCTAAAAACAAAATGCTTCATCAATGGCAGGATCACATTCTTCAAATCCATAATTCGATTGATGCCCCATTGTTTAGTGAGATCCATTAAATTCCTTAAAACACAATGTAAAATTTAGATAAAATCCAAAGGGATTTCCTATTGAAGGTAAAAGCAAAAGATTCAAAGTATCAATACATATCATTACGCATTATAGGTTTGAAGGGTTTTCAGGGCCACAAGTCACAATTAGATTCTGAGAATTAGGTCCTTTAAATCGGTTTAAATTAAGGTTCAAAATATCGATGCACCTGATATGCTGATAGTGGCATATCAAGCAGTATCGATAGATTTTTATTTTTTATTTTTTTAGTTTTTTCGAATCTGATTCAAAGGTGTTGGTTTAAGGTCCATCCACCCTTTGAACCGGTTCAGACCCCAAAACACCCCCTGTAGGGGCATAACGAGAAGCCCCTGATACAATGCATATCAGTCGATATGTATTGATACTTTGAACCTTGATTTAAATATTAAAAAAAAAAAAGTATGATACCATTCAGACTTGATGTGGGGGAGGCTTTAACCAATCAAAACTCCATGTGAAAGAGACCAGATTTCCTGTGAGAGCAATATCAAAACCTACCTGATTGGTTACCACTTCTATGATGCCAACTGGTTGGTTATAAGTTTTTTCTAGGATAGTAATCAAACCCTAAATATTCATCTTTAACATATTTATGCTTGAATTATCAAAGCTAAAAACTATAAAAAAAAAATGTATGGTTGAAAGCTTTGGATACACAACTTTTGTATGTCGAGAGTATATGCTTACAACATATTTGTGTTTGAATTATCAAAGAATATGGATGGTTAAAAGCTTTGGATACACAAATTTTATATATCCAGAGTATATGCTCACTACCATGTGTTCTTGTTGAGTAAAACTATAAAATTTTGCTGGTTCTGAAATCATGACGATTTCACTTTAATTTCGCTTACCAGAACCAGCAATGGCATACAAATGGCGAACAATGGTTGTGTTTGTGAACCAAAATAATTTAATAAACACAAACACAACTTCTGCGAAGCCGTATTAGGTGCATCTACCAAAACTGACATAATTTCTGGAAAACCAAATTCAAAAAATAAGTGCTATGGGTACGGCAAGCATTCTTATCAAATCGAGAGCGCATTAAGAAGGCCATTGCATAGCAGACAGCAAATGGTTAACGAAAGTTTGACACCCCTTTAGAAAAAACAGTGAATGTAAGCAATATTGAAAAGTCGAACTTGAGGATGGCAGAAGCGTATAATATGTAATGTATATATGTATACAAGTTATTTTATATTATATTGTATATTTTATATAAATATTATAATATGACATGTAAAATTTATATTATATATAATATTTTATATTATATATAATATTTTATATTATATAATGTATAAAATAAATTTATATACATGTTATGTTGTTTAATATAAAATATTATAAATATGTAATGTTTTATATATATTTAAGACATTGGCCCAGAATCAAACCCAGCCCGGCCCAGGCTCGTATAGACCTGGGCTAGGATTTATATTTCAGACCCGGAACTCTGGGCCGGGCCAGGCCTGAGCCTAAGCTATAGTCCTTATAATAAATGCAAAGCCCGTCCCGGCCTAGCCCATAATCACCCCTAATGGCAGAGGTAATCTCATAGACCATCATCATCCCCTGTCACAACCAGAGGTCGGTTAAGTGGTCAGAGATACTCAAAAGAAAAAAAAAGAAAAAAAAAAAAAAAAAGAGAAAAGACATCCAAAATTTAGTTCCAAATGTGATGTTGAATAGAACAAAAGCTATTCTAATCCTAAAGGACAATATTATAAAAGAAAGAAAAAAAAAGTTTGGGAGATCCGAAAAGAAAACTCAATAAAATCAACATGCATCCTCGCTAAAATGGGAAATTGAGATAAAACAAATACGGAAAATAAAATGTCAACTAAAAATTAAAACATTGTTGCACCTTCTAAACAGATAAAACTCCCAGCCAAAATGATACCAAGCAAAACGGGGCCGGGCATGTGGATTTTGATTTTCTGATTTGTGAGAAAGGGAAGGATATGGGATACATTCTCAAGAACTGTACTTTTTTTAAAACAAATCCAGATGAGTTTAACCCACATTTATTCGGATCTGAGAGAGAAAGATACTTGAATTATGGAGTAGTGAAGAAGAATGTTTAACTCAAATGTGGAACAAAAAATGGATAATTATGGGGAAAAGGATTGCATTTCTACTATGATATATCTAAAATAGAAATGGAATATAGTATTCCATGACAATTTATTATTAGTACCACCAGTAATAATGGAGAGAGCCAAAGACAGGTTAACTAAATATCTCAAAATAAATGAAGGGAATCAATCAGAACTTTACACAAGATAGTGGAAATTTATATGGTGGAACGATCCAGGGATGAATATGATTAAAATCAATTTTGATGCCTTTGATACAACAATGGTGGATGTACAATTGGCTTAAAGAAATGAAGAGAAACATATTTTGAAACCCAGGCTCTGTTTAGTTCTGTGGATGCTTATTGGAAAAACATCACCACATCAGTGCCACTTAGGCATTCACATTTATTGTAGCATTCACATTTATTGTGCATGAAACCACTGTTTGGTTTCAACGTTTATCAAATAAACATTAAAATACAGAAATGTTGGATTTATGTGCATAAGGCATTGGGAGAAATTTCAAATTCTGGTTTCTCCCAACACCCCATTGTTTATTGAAATAAAATGCTTTGCTAGATCATTGTAAGTTGAGGTGGAAGATAGCTTTATGGGGTGTTACTTGAAACGCCCATGGAACACCCAAACAAACAACAAAACAATAAATGTTTAAAGTAACTATTTTCAATTAAACGTTTATCTGAGAAACACCACATCTATAAACGCCCACAGAACTGAACACATATTAAGAAGACATCAATTGGCATAACCACCATCAACATAGCAGGGAATTGAGCTGCTTTATCGGAAAAAAAAATGGCAACAAATCCAAAGATAAAGAAAAGATAACCGAAGGTGTCTCAAGATTGATTCTAATACCATTTTAAACATGGCTAATCCATTACAGTGGTCAAGTATCAGCTGGACAGTCTGAAAAAGTGACCATGCCAACACTATACATGTACAAGCAGATTATACATATGCATCTCAAGTACCAAAATACAAGAGGTTATTATGAATCTCATAGTATATTTTGTCACATTTGGCTTCCAAAAAAAAAAAAAACAAGAAAAAGATTAAAAAAACCAGAGTGCTGTCACCTTATCTTTCCTGTACAACATTCTCATATTGGACCATCCAACAACACCAACATGTGGCTTGTATATATTTTGAGAAATCAAAATTTCACTAGAATTCTATCATTACAAATTTATTTTGCTCGTAGAAGCAATTTTACATAATTTTTAAATACTTGAAAACTTTAAACTTGAGACATTAACCTCATTAATCTAGCTCCTCTATGGGTCAATAAAAAAAAGTAAAGCAGAACATAGCAATTAAGGCTCAAATAGTCTTAGGTCTTACCATATGGACATTTGTTGCAGCCATTCCAGTGCCATGCATCATAATTGAGGCTACAAATACTCAAGCTACACAAGATTCATCCTCAACGAAAGAACAAAAATGTTGAATAGTATCCTTGTCATAGATTCTTCTTGAACCCTTATGTGACAAGATGCCAATCAAAGAGCACAAAACACAGTACCAGGCAACAAAAAAAAAGCCATCATGAGCCATCGTCTTATGCATCTACATGACTTGCATCAAAATAGCCAAATTGCAAAGTTTCCCTTAAGAAATCTACAACATTAGAAGGTTGTTTGCTTTAGCACTTTAAATTAATCCGGTTGTGTCTCTATTCATAAATCCATATTGAAACCCATGATCACATAATGCAAGAAAAAATAAATAAAATCGACCATAGCTACATAATCGTCAATCAAGAATCTACAACAGAAAACAATTCCGTATTCTATATATAGATGAAATACTTCAAAGTAGCCCACAAAATATTATTTCACGGAGTACAAAAGAGTACAGCCAGTGGCAGTACATTTCCACTAGAACCATGTTCAATACAAGTTCTGATTTACTAAACTCGGCCATCCCACAGACAATCCACCCCGGTTTTACCTCCTCTCAGGAGACTCTCCACCACTTTGGGTGGATTCAGACCTAGACTATTAGCACGCTCCCATCGATCCAATCTACTCATCCCAAGGCACGGTCCATACGCCATGTTCAGGTCGAATTGCCTCAGAACCTCCTCATCTTCACCAAACTCATCTAAAACTAAAAAAGACCAACACCAAGAAATACAAGTCAGCATTCGTCATGTCACATATCAATCCTGGAACCCTCCAGAACAATTAGATAACCTTACTGTTCAGAAAAAAAGTAACATATAAATGGGAGGACTAATTCATGGGTTTTATTTCCAAATCCCCAATCTTACAAAGGATGAAGAGTGACCAAAACCCTAATTTATTTTTCTCTTTCACCTTCATCAATCATTTGATTATAAACCCAAAATACAGGTGCAGATAGTAACAAATATAGAGGCATAGAGAGAAAGAGATAGAGAAAACAGAGAAAAGAAGACCTTTGAGATCGGGTGAACCATGAGCGATGAGGACTGTAGGTTGGGCAAGATCAGAACCCAAGCTGGAAGAAATGGCGGGTGATTTGTTGGTGGGTTTGGATTTGGGCTTCGAGGGAGATTTTCCGATGCCGCTCTTCTTCTGCTTGTAGTAGTTTTTCATGCTTCCCGTTGCCATTCTATCCTTTCTTCTTCTTCTTCTTCCGCTTCCGCTGCTGCTGAGAGATTTCAAATTTTGAAATTGCTGGGTGAGGAGAGGGGTGTCCCTACCTCTTTATATATGTGTCCTCTCCATCAGTTCGGAACTTCGGGTTTTGTGTCCGGTATTTTCTTCCACGTTTTACCCCTCTTAGTTTCTATATTCCTTGTTATGTCCTCATAAATTTAACAGATGGGTATGCAGATGGTGTAATTTGGGCGGGCCCAATTCAAGCCCGATCCGACCCAATCCGCAATTTTACACAGGCTGGGCTTATCAGTCCTCGGGCCAGACCTGGACCCAAAATTTCAGGCTATTAAATCTTTTGGGCTGGGCTCGGGCCTAGCCCTTACAAGCCAAGCCCAGAAGATTTTTCTACATACATATACATACATATACGATATCAATTTTTGGTGTGGGTTAATTAATCAATCCAAGCCCAACTCAAGTGCATCAAGTTTTAGTGCCGATTGGGCTAGGGCTGAATAATTCAGGCTTGACCTTGAGGCTCAGGCCGGATTTGGGCTTTAGGCCCAATTTTTAAGGTTGGGCTTGGGTTGAATTAAAACCCGGCTCAGTCTGCCCGACTTGCACCCCTAGTGGGACATACAGAGAAATTCAGACCCATAAATGGTGGGACTTCTGCATCAAAGTTCAAATAGAAGTAGAACTGTTGTTTGCTGATATTATTCACAAATTTAAAAAGCAGAAAGGAAAGCGAAGAGGGGATGCTTTAAAACTGGACATGGCCAAGGCTTTTGATCTTATGAGGTGAAAGTTTATAGTAGAAGTAAATTAGGAAAAGAATGGGTTCCCGGATCAGTGGTTTGTTTTTTATTAAACGAGGTTTTAGACAAGGAGGCCCTTTCTCTCCTTTTCCTCTTATAATTGGCATGCAACTTCTCTTGGCTCTAATTGAAGAAGAGGAGATTCAAGGACATGTTGAAGGCATCAAATTCACAATTAAAAAACAGTAAGCATGTTACTCATCTCCTTTTTGCTAATGACTGTCTAGGTTTTTTCTAAATTACATACCAATTCTCTCTTGAAGTTTGAACTTCTCTCAGGCCAACAGATAAACTACCACAAAATCTGGTGTCTTATTTAGTAAAAATACCCACAGAGTGCACCAAAAATTGCTTTGTAGCTAGGCTTCTAATTATGAAAATCATGAATTGCCATTTCAAATACTTGGGCTGATAAAAATGTAACAGTACTTCTTACAAAGAGTTGATTGAGGAGGTAGAGCATAGACTGGACACTTGGCAAGCCAAAACCCTCTCACCAAGTTAGGAGAACGACTTTCATCAAGGTTGTTGCTTAAAGATTCCCAAACTACATTGTGATGACAAATTTGCGACCCAAGCAAGTTCTTTCTCATTTGGACTGCAACTTCTCGTGGAAAGGATGTTAATGGCAGACGCGACGAATATAATTAATAAATCACTAGATCTTTGCAAAGCAAATTTTGAAACTTCTCAAAGGGATAGATTAGATTTCGACTCAACAACTACAGGCTAAATATTTAAAAAAAAAAAAAAAGTTGTAAGTTGAAATCCACAGATATATTCTTGGTGGTGAATGAAAATGGATTCTGATCGAAGCTGAAAAATGATGTAGAGGGTTGGCTGTTGGTGTTGGAAGCAGGTGGGTTGAGGCACTAGAATTGATGCTCTCCACGATCCATGGATACCATGGACGACAAACAATCGACCCTCTCTCTCAACAATCAATACTACTGTTGATGCCCGGTTTGACCGAGGGCAATAAAGTAATTTCACTCCCAAGCTTTGAAGGAAGGTCGAATGCTTTGAGGTTTCAGAGGAGATGAGCCAACGCCGAGGGCTGAAGGCCGAGGTGAATCGTTCCTTCGAATGCTATAGAAGTCGAGGGCTAGTACTGAGAAGGGTGATCAAGGGAAGACAAGATATTGTTCCCACAATAGTGAATCTATAAGGGAGAAGGTGTCAAAGGCCTCGGGTGATAACCCGAGGCTAGGATTCTGACGATCAAGTTAGTATGTGCACGAGGTAAGTAATGAGTCTGGAACCGAGGGGTCCAGACAAGGTCTCAGATAGGGCTAAGTCCTTAGAGGAGAGAGCACTAGAGATCACAAAGGTTTCGAATCCCTTACCTTGTGGGGGGTGCCTTGCATTTATAGTAGGAGCTGCCAAGGGGTAGTTGGGCTCGGATGGTCCTGATGCGAGCCATATGAGGGTCTGGCAAGATGTTCTGCCAGAGCCACACAGCACCCTGTGACTGGGTCCGCCTGGTCCGCATCAGGTAACCCTGAGCGTCCTCATGGTAAGCCTATGCGGGCGTTCTCCATTCGACACATGTCAGCCTTGAACAGGCCAGCCAAAATGTGCCTACATCACTTGCCCCTGCTCCCGAGGTCGAGGTGGGGGTTCGGAAAGGGCCTTGGCTTCAACCGAAGGGAGTGTCAATGTTGGTAGGTGCCATCAGGCTTGTTTAGTGAGGTGTACCCTACAGTGGCGTCGCCTTCGTCTTGCTTCTGCTTCGGTTTGATTTCAAATCGTGGAAGAGAGGTGAAGTTATGGATGCCTCGGCTTTGGGTAGGGAGCCCGAGGTGGAGGGGGTCTAGCTAAGCCGAGCATGTGCCTTATATTCACGCGGTGATGGTTTGGGGTTGTGCATGGTAGAGGATTCACTGGCTAGCGCACCGGAGTCGTGCACGATATGGGTCCGGTGTGAGGAGAGCCTTCCGTAGGGGGGACAGGCGCTCTGGGCAAACCAGTCTAGGCGTTCATCGAGTCTGTGCACTCGAATCGGTGGGTTGCGGTGAACGGACCGGTTAGTTCGCTTGGCGTCGTTTCGACTTCCCGAGGTTGAGCGCCGATTCACTAGGCGTCGTCTCGTTTCCCCGAGGCTAGGCACGCGCTGGTTTATTAGGTGTTGTTTTGTTTCCCCGAGGCTGGGTTTTGAGTGTCACACCGCAGATGGTCAGTGGAGGCGAAGGCCTTACGATCATTGGATCCAGCAGGATTTAAGTTGTTCATTTTTCTATAAATAGGGGCTTGGCGATTTTTCTCCGTCATTTGTCTCTAGGCGCCCTTGCTATCGAGTGAACTCTACTCCCAAACCTTCAATCCTTTGACACACCTCGTCTTCACTCTTCTCTCTTTCATTTTTTAGGTAACTCTCAAACCATGTCTTTCTTAGATTCTGGCCCTGAGTGCTATGAACTTCTGGATTGTTCGGAATGGATCTCTCTTTGGACTCCTTCCCCCTATCTCCCTTAGGTCCATTGGCCGTCATCCCCCTTCAGCAAGAGGTGATGGTGCTGAGGGAGAGGGTAGCCTCTGGGGGTGTCGAGGTGATGACCCTCCCTGTGAGAGTACCACATCCATGACACCAAGGGAGGCAGAGGGGTCCCCCAAGCCGAGGGGGAGCAGATCCCAGAAACCGTCCAAAGCGCTGCCCAAAGGGTGGTGATGGCAGATATCTCGCGTTTGGAGTTCGACAGCACTCTGGACGTGAACCAAGTGTAGGCCCTAGCTAGGAGGTTTCACATACCTTAGTCTTACCAGCTTAGAGTTCCTGACCTCGGTGGCCGGCTATGGACCCCTAAGGATGGGGAAATTTGTATATACCAACATTTTTTAGAGTTTGGCATTAGGTTCCCTCTTCACCTTTTGATCTCTGAGCTACTAGAGTGCTATGGCATCACGATCAGCCAACTCATCCCCAATTTCGTTAGGACCCTCGTAGCCATGCTAGTGTGGGTTCGGCTTCGGGACATGGAGTTGACCCCAAAGATATTATGTGCCATGTATTTGTTGAGGAAGCATTCTTCCGAGGCTAAGATGTACTACCTACAGCCACGGAGGGGGAGACCGATTGATAACCCCACGTTTGTCCACAACTAGATGGGCAAAATTTTCTTCATCTCCTACCCTAATGGTTAGTAGTTCAGGTCGAAGTGGGGAGTGGCCTGTACGACGATTAAGAAGTGTCCACCTTTGCTTCAGGACAAGGAGGCCACTGTTGTAGCGCACCTGATCATGTTGGGGACGGTCAAGGCCAAGCCCTTGGTGGAGGAGGAGATCCCCCTAGTGTTTGCAGGGCTCAGCCCTACCCCCCTCGGTAAGAGAGTTTTTGTAGCTTTTTACACATTCCCCTTGTCTTCATATGGTGTACTAACTCATGGTCTTTCTTTTGTAGAGGTACCAATGGACGCCAAAAAGTTGCTACTCGAGAGTGCCCACACTAAGCAAAAGACCTAGGCGGGGAAGAAGGCAAGAGGGTAGACGTCGAGGAGGCCTGCCGAGAATGAGCTCGTGAGGGACGAGCGGGCATCAGCCCCCACCAAGGGGGTTACTCAGCAACAAATCCTTGCTAAGGGGGAAACTCAACAAGTCCCTACCAAGGGGAAGAGGTTGGTAGGTGGCTGATAACTCTGTATTTTGATGCCTTAAGGGCATCATTTCAGGGGTATTTTAGGCCTTAGAATAGTCAAAATGTGTCATTTTCCCAGTTAAATTCAATATTGTGATCTCTGAGGGTCCCTGTGCAAATCTTGGGGAAAACTAGGGAAGTTTCAGGGCTGAAATGCAGTTTTTTGGGAAGCTAGTGTGAATTCTAGCTAAGAGATGAGGTGTTTCTGTGAAAAACTGAGCACAGGAGGGCACTTCCTATCTGCCAAACCAAGATAGGTGCCCCTGTTACTGTATTATCATACTCCCCTCTCCTTAGCAAACCCTAGGGCGCCTCCCCACACATTCTTTTCACCTCTAACAAACCCTAGCCGCCTTAGGCTATCAAATCTCCACCCTCCACTCTCTCCTAACCTCTAATCTCAACCATCCAAGCCTTAGCAACCCCTCATACCCTTAGATCTCTCCCTCTACAACATCCTAGCCTTACACCTCACTCCTTAAACCTCAACCAATCACCTTAGGGCGCCACATCACACTAACCAATCACATTTCTCCATTTTGGATGCCCAAATCATAGCCCTACATAATATTGGACGCCCTCTCCTTCTCTTCTCAGCCTTAGGATCACCTTAGAACAATCCTAACCCTCCATTCTC